ACGAATCTCACTCCACATTGCCTGCCTAAACCATATATATTTATAGATACATGGAGAATATCACGAATCTCACTCCACATTGCCTGCCTAAACCAAGTCTATTTATAGATACATGGAGAATATCACGACTCTCACTCCTCTTTGCCTGCTTAAACCATGTCGATTTATAGATACATGGAGAATATTGCGACTCTCATTCCGCATTACCTGCCTAAACCATATCTATTTATAGATACATGGAGAATATTGCCACTCATCCTGACGAAGCAAAGTACCGCAAAATCCGAGTGGGCAACAACGCGTTTCAGTCACGTGTGAAGGCGTGTATAGGGGCAGACGACTTCTTCGCCGCTGTAGGTAAGTGCGGGCCGCAAGTGGTCTTCAAGCATGTGGTAGCACTTGCACCTTACCTATAAGCAGGCATACGGTTATATGTGTGATACAGTATTCGTATAGACGGATTTGTATATGTTATTTTTGTGGTGCACTTTTAATACTCGGGCACGCTTTCCTGATGAGGGGTTGTTCTTGTACTTTGTCACACAGCCACTGCGTCGAGTGTAGAGTCTCGGGTGGATTCTAGCGGTTGTTTACTTGGCGTTTCATTTAATAGGCAACAATACCTATAGTCGCATGTCTTTTGTACAACTGCCACCATCGAGTGGTTCTTCATTCTACATTACATTCACCTTCGCAAAATATTGCCATGACATATGCATACACATCCAAACGTGTCTGTATATATATTTGTAAACATGTGGGTATGACATATGCATAAACATACAAACTTGTCTGTATATATGTTTGTAAACATGTGGGCAGTAGCGCAATATGTGAATGTGCATCAATTGGACACTAGGAGCTTACCTGCACTATGTTTGTCGCTACGACCTACACATTAAATAGAGCCCTTATAGGATTTCGAAGCCTTCTGGTATCACAAGTAAACTTTACTACAGATGGACCCATTCGCGTATGTACGTATATATCAATTGTGTGTGTATGTTCATATGATGTCTCGTATACACGTAGAAGTATGGCTGTAGGCTGACATACCATTTCTCCATGAGACGGGCACTTACATACAGTTAACTAAGTTCACTCTGATATCCGTTGCGTAGGGTTTGAAACACAACAGTTGCCGCATGAAGAATCCACCGCCGAGTTTTACGTGCTGCCTGAGTCCGGAGATACCGTGCTTCTTGATGTTGCCATAGCAACCTTAAAGTCGCCTCCGCAACCGCCAGTACATCGACAAAGGTGCGTTTGCTCAAGGGACATGTGGATACTGGAATGCACATAGCTACCAATAAGAAAGTCTACTTGTTTTGCTTCAGCTGTTGCGCTCTTGTCGCGTTCACGTAAGTCCTTGTCGTGTGCATATAGGTCAGTTACTCGCGGTGAGTAGTGGATGTGCTTCTCTCTCTTTACCTGTACGGGTGTGAGTGCGTTGGTCGTAGTGGTTCACATGTCTACCTCGAGTGAAAACGATTGTGTAAGCCTTGTCCAGGATATATCACTTCGGTTTTCTGGCATCAACCAGTCACTCATATACCAATAAGCACAAGCATATATATTCATAGTGTCTTAGTACGTGCTTCACTGGTATGTTGACACATACGCTTGCTTGTGTATTGTAATAGATATCTCTACACGCGTACGTATGGTGACTAACGCACAACTCGCCACAAATTGCTTTCCGCTCAACGCTTACATACAGAAAGCTGTACGCACCGAGCGATAAGCCGAATGCAAAGTGGGATCTACCGGCATATTTCTTCAGAGTTACAGCAGACGATGTCAAGAAGGCCCAGGCAGACCTCGCTGTATGTTACCTACTTCTAGTGGTATTGATGTATCTACAAGATCTTTATATAGATATATATATATTAATATATATATATACATATTAAAAAATATATATTTATAAA